CACAGCTCACAGCAACCTCCAACTCCTGGGTTCAAGCGAGTCTCCTGCCTCAGCCTCCCAAGTAGCTGGGACCACAGGCGCCCGCCACAATGCCTGGCTATTTTTGGTTGCAACCATCATTGTTGTTTGGCGGGCCTGGTCTGGATTCGAACCCACCACCTTGGGTGTACATGGCTGGCGCCTTAGCCACTTGAGCCACAGGTGCCGAGCCACAATTACTTCTTTATTTTACTTTTTGATCTTGAAATGATTATAGACTCACATCCCACTGTAAGAAATAGCACAGGTAAGATCCCATGTACCTGTTACCATGTTTCCCGCAATGCTGATTCCTCAAAAAGCTCTCGGACAGCATCAGAGTAGGATCCAGAATCTCCATCACCAAGGCCGTCCCTCCTCAGCCTTGGGCCTGTTCTCCACCACTCCTGTGGTATGCAGCCTGCTGGAACTGGCGTTCCACTTGGCATACTCTGGGCATCTGTGCACCTGGTCGCAGTGTCCGTGGCTGGTTTCCGTGGCCATGCCTCATAGTGAGGACATGGACTGCTTGTCTGCTCAGCCACCCTCAGAATATATCTGGGCTTCTCCTAGGCATGCTGGTTAGAGTTAAGCAGCTATGAAGCTCTGGTGACAGGGCAGGTGGATATGGACTCGGGTCTCTAGGCTGAGTGCTCAGGAGGGGATTGCCCCACCCTGCAGATGGTGTATCCCTGGTCTGGTGCTGAGGAGCCTCCCAGGTGTGCCCTGCGGCCTACTGTGGGCAGCAGCTAGGTCTTCTTGACCAAGGCTGTTCTGAGAGGCCAGGGTTTCCCACCACTCCCATCCATTGCTACTGTGTACGCAGGGCCCATGGGGGAAGAGGCTGTGAGCCCACTCAGGGCAAGTTCAGCTCCAAGGAGCCTTCTTGGGAGCTTCCTGGACTCTGGGGACCCTCCCTCTGGACACTCCACCCAGGAACAAGCCCAGGGCTCCTAGGTCTGAAACCCTCACACTGCCCTGGACATCACATCTTTCAACCACATGGCCACAGTTCCAAGTGTCTGAGGCCAGAATCAGGGGCCCATGTAGACACATCCTACAAGACTGTTTTCAGCAAGAGGGAGGAGTAAGAAAAGGGATAAAGTGAGAAAAGCAGCTGGGAATAGCCGGTACCCGCTATGGGGTCACAGGCCACAAGAGGCCTCTTCATTGGAGACCCCAAAACCTGACCCAGGAGGAGGGAGCAGCCGGGCCCACTGTCCACACCATTTCCTCTGGGACACTGGGTCCTTCTAGGTCTGGACCACTGTGGCCTGTGGATATGAAATCGAAGTGATGTTTTAAACAGGTGTGCTGTGTGCCCGGAAGACCTGTTTCTCCCAGCGCACTGGTCAGGGCAGGTGGATGAGGCCCTCACTCGGTCACGCTGCCCCTTACCTGGCAGGGCATCCCCAGGTGGACATCACAGGGCAGCTTATGGATGAGGTACCTGTCAGTATTTCCCAGTTGAGGGTCAGAAAGTTTTGGGAAAAGATGAGGTGGGGCCTATGGCATCTGCCAGTGGGAGGACCCTGGACATCCCGGGCTGTGCCCCTGGACACTGCAAGTAGGGTGGGGCCTGTGGGGATGTAGGGTTAGCTGCCCACCTCCACCTCTGTAGAATTTTGTACAGTTTTGGGGAGCTCAGAGCTGAAGGCTGTGGCTACCACTGCACAGAAGTGCCAGGAAGGAGCAAGTGTGGTCAAGTGTCTCTGCCCAGGAGGAATGTGGCCCCAGGACCCACCAAAATCACTCAGCCCTGCCTGTGAAAATCCTCAGAAAGTCCAGCTTAATTTAAACTTCCAGACTTTTCCATGAGAAACAGAGGTTCACTGAGGCAAGCACCTTGAGTACTAAGTGACTTTGACCTGAGGTTGGATGCCAAATTCCAGAACAATTCACCCTGGAATGGGGAAGGGAAGACACCAAGGTGGGTTCCACTGAGCAGCCTCAGAGAGTCAGGGCCTCCAGGATCTTCCCTGAGGTCCCCAGGACACAGGGCACCCTCAGGATGGTGGCTGAGCTTGAGTTACCCTGTAACCCGTCTTTTCCAATGTCTGGCTAAAAATTCACATGGTTAATGTCCTTTTAAGAAAACATAAGCTATGGTATCTGCCTTAAATTATGCCAAGTTGAGTTTTATTTCACTGTCCATCGATTGTGGTTGCAGAGTAAGGACCAAGGGGCTGGGCTGGCATTCCTTAAGCAGGAGAGAACCGGACCTGGACTCACTGGTGCTGGCTGGAGGCAGGACTTAGGAGGATGTGGCTAAGTTCTCTCAAACTCACAGCCACCCAGCCTGCTCAGCCATCTAAAAGGCTGCTCCTCAAAGATACAGGCCCCAACCTTCACCCTGGGGAAGGAGAGGGGGCAGGTGGGCAGCAAGCATCGTCCCAGGAGCCGCAGTGATTGTCACACTACAGTCTCTGCTGTGCATACAGGTGAAGCCCCTCAGGTGCCTGTCCTCACGCTGTAGCTTCTGACTCTCTGTGGGTGCTGTAAGGAGGGGCAAGGCCCACCCAGGCTGCTCCAGCATCCTCAGAACATTCCGTGTCTGTGGCAAGGATGAGGACAGAGGGAGGCTGGGCCTTGGGGTGTGTGCACTGGGAACATGTATGCACACATTTACATATGTACACATGCACAGGGCACAAACACATATGTATACACATATGCATGCATGTAAACATGTATCCACACACACACACGTATGTGCATGCCTATGCATCACACACATGAGTGCACACACGTTCCCAAACAGACACACACACGCATGTGTGCACATATACATGACACATGTGCATGGCACAATACACTCACATGCATGTAGATGTATGTGTACTCTCACACATGTGCACACTCAGACACATATGCATATACTCACACACATGTACAGACATGTAAATACACATATGCATACACACACACACAGCACACATGAGTATATACTCATGCTCACACATGCATGGCCAGCCCACCACCTCAGGGGGCCTACCAGCCCCTCCCTCCCGACGGTCTGCTGCACCCCATGGGTTGGGTCCTCAGCACTTCAGGTCTCCATTCACAGAGGCCGTGGACAGCGTGCTGACCAGCCCCTGGTGGTCCCCAGATCTCTGGCAGCGAGTCCTGATGAGCTTGTAGATGGCAAACCCAGGGATGGTGAGGCAAGGCACCCCAGCCACCACCACCACCACTGCGTATACCCAGTCTGGGTATGGCACCTTCTCGGATTTGGGAAATTCCTCCTGGGGAAAGAGCCACATGGATGATAGAAGCGTCTGGAGCCCCCAGGTCTGCTCTGGGGACACATGTCCTGTAGGGCTGGGGTGGGCAGCCTGAGGCTCTTCTAGTCTCCCCTACTCCCACTCCTCGCATTTACAGGAGTGAAGGGGAGCCACAATCCCAGCTCTTCCCCCATTCTTCAGTGGGTTCCAGCTCCTGCCCCTGGCCCCACTGGGTCCCAGATCCTGCCCCCTAACCCCATGTGAGTCCCACCTCCTGCCCTCTGACCCCACATGGGTCCCACCTCCTACCCTCTGACCCCACATGGGTCCCAGCTCCAGCCCCCTGACCCCACATGGGTCCCTGCTCCCATCCCCAACCCCACATGGGTCCCACCTCCTGCCCTCTTACACTAACAGAGCTAGGTTCCCATTCCTGCCCCTGCCCTCTGCACTCACATAGCTAGGGTCCCAGACACTGTATGTCAGTTCCTCGTTGACCTTCACCACAAAGAAGAAGAAGAAGATGACCAACATGATCAGTGGGCTGACCACTCTCCATGTGACTTGCCAGAAGATGTTGGGCTTGTGGCCAATCATGAACTCGATGTCCCTGTTAAACCTAGAAGCAGGGCCAGAGGGAGACATCACCAGGGACCCCACTAGGACTTCATTGCATCGAACAAAGGATGATCCTTTCTCTCCCGCCTGGACACTCAGTGTCATCCTGGCACACCCGGCTCTCACCCCACTTCCAGGCCAGGGTGCACCTCCTCTAAAAAGGCCCCTCTGTGAGCACGGTACCCTCTCCCAGTGCCCTGACGGGAAGTCATCAACAGTGGTGTCCATGTCCTCACCCCATCCTGGGATGGTTACTGCTGTACAAGGGAGAGGACAGAGAAGGGAGCCCTAGATACTCCTGCCTCTGCCTCCATGGCAGCACTGGAGGTTGGAGAGTCCCCACCCACCCCAGCCCTAAGGCTTGAGGCCCATCCTCTGCTGAATCCTTTTTCACAAAGGGATTTACTATGTAGAAATCATGATGGAGCAGGTGGAATGTGAACCTGAGCTGGTTGTGGGCTCCAGGGACCTGAGCAGGCACTGTGGGACACTAACCCAAGCCAGCCCCTGGCTCACGTGGATGTCAGAGCCAGTCCCTCTTTCCCTTCTAGGGACTCAGAGCCTGGTGCTGTACTTCATGAAACCATGCATTCGGACCTAAACTTTCCTTGTCAATATCTGTGTGACACCAGTGCTAAACCTCCCCACCCCCGTCCGGGGCTGGTTTGGCTTCTGTCCTCACTCACCTAATGCTGACACACACCCTGTCCACAAACCCCATCTGCTCCTGCCTGCAGGTCAGAGCCAGCCTGCAGAGGGGAGCCCAGTGAAGGGCCCAGTTTTACTACATGCTGGCAGGTTACTTCTAAAGGAACCTCAAATCCAGTGCCCATCAGCAGTGCCACCTCCTGGTCCCACCCAGGATCAGTGATGCTGCCAGGCAACGTCTGACCAAGTGGCCTGCTGACAGCGTACACACTCCCTGCCTGCCATGGCTGTTGTCTGCTGGTGCCCTCTCTTCCCCTGGAAAGGCCTAGAACACCAGGACAGGGAGAAGGGTTCCTGGCCAGGGACCCTAGGGAAGTATAGTGTGCCCTGTGCCCTCACTAGATGGGACACCATTGAGCCCAGATGCCCCGGCTTCAGGGTCCCAGCAGCAGGAGGCCCACAGCACAGGAGGGACCTTCTGCTCTCCCACCTGCTGCTGAGCACTGGGGCTGCTTTGGGGGACCCTGGACCCCTAAGCATTTATCCAGTTCACAGCTGTCCACACGCCCTGGCCATTCCATGCTGGCCCCCCACCCTGCACATCTGTACTGACTCACCCCTGCATAGGGCTTCTTGGCCTCTGTGTAGGTAGCTAAGTTTCTAGCTCACTACTTGTCCTCTGATTGTTCAGGGCATGTTTTCATTCAGGGCCACTCTCCCTCTGTTCCCCCTGAGCAATGCAAATCACTACTTGTCTCTGTTCCAGCTGGCCTGCCAGCGCCTGGTGAGAGTTATTTGGCTTGCCCCACTCCTGGGTGGTATCCTGTCCAGTTGGCTGGGAGTCGGGGTCCTCCTTGGCCAGACCCAGCCCACAGGCTTGGCACTCCCCTCATCTTGCTGTCTCTGTGCCACTGCCTGCTGCTCCCTTTGGGGCAGGGCCCCCAGAGGCCCTGACTCACAGCCCCATGGGAACCTTCATGACCTGGCTTTTCTACTCCAGATGCTGCTGCCACCACGTCACCTCCTACCTGTCCACACCGTACAAGTAGACCACTGAGAACATCTCACAGAAGGCGATGATGAGCAGTGGAATGGAGCCGGCATAGCTGTCCAGCAGTGACAGCCAGTACTGGCCAGAGTTCAGTGTAAAGATGAAGGCGATGAGGTAGGTCCCCAAGCAGATGAGGCCTGTGGGCCAGACAGGCAGCACAGGGTCACACAGTGCCAGGGCCTCACTGCTGCTGAGGGCCCAGCCTGCCCAACTGCACACGCACCTGTGAGCAGCTCCTTGGGCCACTTCTGGGGGGTGATCTTGAGGTCCTGCAGGGGCACGACGACGCCTTCCATGTTTCCGAACATGGAGGACAGGCCCAGGCAGAAGAGCATGATGAAGAAGAGCACGGACCACAGAGGGGACAGCGGCATCTTGGTGATGGCCTCAGTGAAGACGATGAAGGCCAGGCCCGTGCCCTCCACACCCTGCAGGGCAGCATAGTCACCCATGACCCTGCCTGGCCCTGCTGTCTCCCTTGACCCGTGCTGGCCCATTGGACCCTGGCTTTCTGCCTCCAAGCCCACAGAGCAAGCATCATGTGATCTCAGTCATCTGGTGAAGTGATGAGATCTTGTCTTTTAGGCCCAAAGTGCACTTTAGAAAGCCAAGCCAGTGAGAGGATCCCTCCCTCTAGCAGTGGTCAGAGCCCTGAGTGGCTGGGACAGACACACCAAATCACGGACGTAGGAAGCTTCCTAAGACGTCACCTGAGAGCTTCACCTAAATATACACCTGGGGGCTCCTGAATTAAGGTGGCCACTGGCCTGGGTTAGGGCACCCACATGCGCCCACAGGCTCACGGGTATGTCAGCCTCCAGGCATTGCTACCCGGGACACCAGACTGTCAGCTGGGAACTCAGCTCCAGCTCATCCCAGCCCTGGTGGTCAGTGGTCCCGGCTGTGCCATCTCTGCAGAGAAAGCCCTGCTGAGGGCTGAAGGCCTGGATCAGGGCATTCTACCGGGCAGAGCCCCTGCAGGGGATTGGCTCCAGGATTTCAGGCAACTTAATACATCTGTGTGAGCTCTAGGAGCAAGATGCTGACCCTCCTGCTCAGGGACACTGCTCCATGGAAGACTCTGAGCAGTTTAAAGGGAACTTGCCAGCAATGGTACACATTGGCAGAGGCGCCTGAGCTGCCCGGGGGGAGGAAAGCCACAGTGGCACAGAACCCACTGAGGCTGAGAATGGTGCTGCCAGGGAAGGCTGGCCCACAATAACACCATTACCAGATTCTCTTTCAGTGGCATTTCTCAGAAGGCAAACCAACAGGGGTACCCTGGGGCTGGGGGAGCAAGAGTGACCTGGAGGTGATGGGTCACAGTACACACGTGGCTGTGCAAACTCAATAAGACTCAGAAATTGTGCTGAAAATGGGCGGGTGTCATGGCACATAATTAGACCTCAGTGAAGTTGTTTCTACACAAAGAAAGGAAGTGTAGACCCTGCACCCCTATCTGGTCCCTCTTGCCTTTGGATGCCTCTGGATGTCAGTGAAAAAAGGGTGGAGAGAACCCAAGACCTCTCTGCTGGCCCAGCTGGCACCATACTACCCCATAGCTGCCATGTCAGGGGCCACGAGACACAGCGCTAGGCCCCGAAAATGGCAAAATTATGGGTGGCTCCCAAATAAGGAAACTGCAAAATTAATATTAGAAAATGTTCATCTATAAAATCCAGCAGAGGCTTGGCTCAGTGGTTAGGGTGCTGGCCACATACACTGGGACTGGCGGGTTCAAACCCAGCCTGGGCCTGCTAAACAACAATGACAACAATAACCCAAAAAAAAAAAAATAGCCGGGCAATGTGGCAGGTACCTGTAGTCCCAGCTACTTGGGAGGCGGAGATAAGAGAATCACTTAAACCCAAGAGTTTGAGGTCGCTGTGAGCTGAGACACTACAGCACTCTACAGAGGCTGATTTAGTGAGACTCTGTCTCAAAAAAAAAACCTAGCAGAATTTGAACTTCATTAATTGTTAAAATGGTGTTTGAAAGCATTCTTTACATTAGACAACGATTTGTGAGTTTCTTTCTGGTAGCTGAGAAAAGTTGGCCAGGCCAAAACAAAATGTGCCTCTGGTTGCCTAGTAAGTTCAAAACCAGTTAAAATAATTCTCCCAATTTTTATGGAAGGAATATTACAAACTGCCACAAGCAGTGTGAAAAGGGAGGGAGCAGGGGTGCCAGCCCACAGCAACTTGGTCCCTGCCTCAGGCATTGCCAGGCCCCAGCAGTGGGTTTTGAGGCCCAGCAGATGCCAGCCACCCAGATCACAGTGCCCAGGAGGAAAGTCCGAGATGGACAGACGCAGAGGCCAGAGGTCAGCCAAACCCTAGCATGCAGCCAACTCTTGGGTCCTGCAAGGGTGTCCTCCCCGTTGCCTGCATCTTTGAGGCACCCACAGGGACTTACTTCCGAGAGGAAGGAGTTCATGTCACAGGTCTGGAACTGCAGCTGTGCGTAGGCTGTGGGGTTGCTGGCATTGCACCAGCGCTGCACCTCCTGGAAGTTCTCCTGGGTCACACTGCCTTCAGGCAGGTCAAATCCATTGATGAGGGTCAGAATGTTCCTGGGAAGGACAGGGGCTAACTCAGGCTTGCTGTGAGTAGGCACCACCCCAGGAGCTGGGCCAGTGGGTGAGCGGGGACTCACGTGCTGAAACAGGCATCGTAGCGCTCAGTGGCACGGAAGCCGATGATGGAGTAGACAACAGTGGCCGCATACACTGATGTGAAGCCATTGATGACAGACACAATCACTGAGTCCATTTCGCAGTTGTTGCTGTGATAAGAACAGTGTCACCTTGTGCCTCACGCTGTGCGGCAAGCAGTTCTGCCCTGGAACACAGTGCAGCAGAAACACCTGTGCCAACCTGGGGCTCTGTCTCTGAGCCAAGCCCAAGAGGGAGGGACTGAACCCTGTGGGTAGCAGGGCAGGCTGGACCCCATCCTCCTCTGAGCAGCCACTGAGGACACAGGTGATGGGATAGATGAGGAGCCCCATGCCACAGGCCCAAGCCCTTTTCATCACTTCACTTGCCCCTAGCTCGATGGCTTTAGAAATTCCTCTGGTTTTGGCAATAGGTTCTCATTTGGTACAAATTATGAGGGGAGCTCAGTCCATAAACCCCAAGGGTTGGTTGTACCACCTGCCCAGGGTGAAAAGGAGGAAAAGAGGTCTCAGAGGTCACGCTGGGAGCTGCAAGGCATGGTAGAGCCAGCAGGGAGGATCCATCTTCAAGCCCTTAACATCCCAGCCATTTTGCCTTCTTCCGGCCTTCGAGCTCCCCTTAACCCCCTGGCTCCAGCCCACATTGACTTTAGGCCTCCCCAGAGCTAGGCTGCAGGCACTGGGGGCCCTGCTGTCAAGGGGAGACTCCTGGACATACAGGAGTCACCAGCAGGACTCAAGGGAGTCGTCTTAAACTCAGGTCTCAGGGAGTCCCTGGCAGTCAAAGGCCTGTGGCCCAGAGCTGTGTTCCTGACCCACAGGTGGGTGTGGGAAAGAGGCCTCCCCCTTGCTCCAGCTTCCTCATTTTCCTCAGGGCATTGCTCTGGCCACACCCCTACTGCTCACTGGCTACTCTGGCCACCCCAGGCGACCCTGGGATGGCGCCCTGGGCTCACGCTAACCTTGGGCTTCTAGAATAGCACCAGGTAGAAGACCCTCTGTGGAGTCTCCCATAGACTCTGGGGATCCAGGCCATCCACTTGCCACTGAGGACCTGCATCTCCTAAATGCATGCCCCACTTGACCCCTGACCCCCAACCGACCTGGCCAGCCCCCCCATTCTAATGCAGATTTCCTGATGCTTCTACCAAAAGTAGATGGTATCAGCCAGCAGGGAGGTGCAGACTAAACCAGCTCACTACCATGGTTTAGTCTGCACCAGGTCATCATCAGACTTGGCAGGAGTGGGGGCACCCGGTGGAGGCCCCGACATGGAGTTGCATTGTGGGAGGCTCAGACACGAAGGGACACGTTATGTGCACCCTATCTGTAGGGGTGTCCAGAATGGGCCAGACCATGGAGGCTGGGAGGAGTCAGTGATTGCCAGGGGCTGGGGGGTGGGGATTTGGGAGTAACTGCTAGTGGATATGGGGCTTTGGGTATGCTTAGAGTGTTCTGGAACTAGACAGTAGTGGCTGGACAACTCTGAATGTCCTAAAACCACTGAATCATACACTTTAGTGGGAGAGTTGTAAGATAGGCAAGTTGTCTGAACAACACAGCCATGGAAGCAATTCAGTCTCAGCTGCACCTTGTCCAGTCCACAAGGGTTCCTGGCACACCTCTCTCAGCCCCAGCACAGGCACAGGGACCCATGGTCCTTCCTCTCTCTCTAACATCCACCCTGCCCCCACTCTATGCCCCACACCCTCTCCCAACCTGGCTCAAACCACTCCTCCCTCCACCCCTGCACCCCATCTATATCCCCAAACCTGCTAGGCCCTACCCCTTACTGGCTCCGCCCCCAGCCTGTCCCCCCCAACCTCAGCCTCATCCCACACCTTGGACCCTTGACCTCCTGACCTGCCTAAGTCTGCTTAGGTCAAGCTCATCCATTCTGCCCCTCCCTCTCCAGCCCAGTGTTTCAGGCTCCTGCCTCCCCTGCCCACGTGATGCTGACGCTGCTTCACCATGATGCCCACACAGTCCCAGCCAGGGCCCCTTACTCACTGCACGGAATTGTAGCTAGAGAATGAGATGAGGCCCCCAAAGGCCAGGGAGAAGGAGTAGAAGACCTGGGCGCCCGCATCCAGCCAGGTGACCGGGTTGGCCAGCTCTGTGACCTGCACCAGAGAGAGACCTCAGCTGTGGGTTGTAAGGACTGGCTGCTGGCCACCTGGGAAGGTGTGGCTCAAGGAAGAGCTGTGAGTTTTGTGGGCAGGATGGATACCACTGCCCAGAGGGGTCAAGTCCATCCCCTGCAGTGGCTCTGCATGCACAGAGGGGCAAAGTCAGGCCAAAGGCCTCCTCACCCAGCCTGGTTGACCTTCTCAGCCCCAGGGCAGGACAGGAAGACAGGCCAGCTGCCACCTGTGGACATGAGCAGGCCTTGAGGCCAGGGGGTTCTGAGACCAGGTCAGATAGTGGAGACTCACATTAGGCGTGAAGAGGAAGACAATGCCATTGGTGGCACCCTTTAGCGTTAGACCTCGAATGAGGAAGATGGTCAGCACGACGTACGGCAGCGTGGAGGTGACGTACACAGCCTGCAGGGCAAGCGTGGGGGAGGTGAGAGTGGGGAAGGTGTGTGATGGGCAGGTGTATGATGGGCAGGTATGAGGGGACAGGTGTGTGTCAAAGTAGGTGTGGGGGGCTGGTGTGGACACAGGGGCAATAGGGATCGCTGGTTCCTCGAGCAGAGCAGCCTCAAGGATGGCTCCTTGCTCTGCCTCTCTCCTCCTCGTCCCCCTTCCCCTTGTTCTGAACTTTCCAATTAGCTAGACATTGTGGCTTACGCCTGCATGGAGCTTTCCAGTGTGGTGTCTGGAAGCCACGTGCCAGCACCAAGTCCTGGTAGGTCTGGACAATTGGGTAGTGGTGGGGGTGCAGCACAGGGCAGCAGGGGAGGAAGGGACAGCACAGGGCAGCAGGGGAGGAAGGGACAGCACAGGGCAGCAGGGGAGGAAGGGACAGCACAGGGCAGCAGCAGGGAGGGACCAGCACAGGGCAGTAGGGAGGGGGAAGCACAGGGCGGATACTCCTGGGACCCCGGGACTTCCTAGGCTCCCTGGGCCAGCTTTGCCTGCCCCACCTGCCCCTGGGCTGTGGCGTGGCTACCTTCCCAGTGGTCTCGATGCCCCGGATGGTGCACACGTAGAGGACACTCCAGGCACAGGTTAGGCACAGCAGCATCCACCACTGTATCGAGCCCGAGTCACTGATGGACGTGGAGATGTTGAGGGTCTCACGGTACCAGAAGTAGTCCACCGAGGAGCTCCTGGCACACTCGTCCACGAAGCCTGTGGGAGGGCCGTTCACACACTTCAGGGAGTGTGTCCTGGGGCCCCAAGCTGAAGATGTCTTGAGACCTTGGGAGAGGGCCTTGTCAGCCCTGAGTGCAGCTGGGGATACGTGGTGGGGGCCCTGTGTTGCTCTCACCTCAGGGGCCATTTCAATGGCCCTAACCCCAGAGGTTACACACAGGCAGCTCAGGCCCCATGTGGCACGTGGATTGCCGTGGGCTGAGTGGATGCCCTTAGGCCTGGGGCAGAGTCTTGGACAGGGTGAGGGGCCAAGAGGACCCTAGTGCAGAACTCCACATGTGTAAAGAGCACCCAGGGGTGGGCTGGGCCCAGAGGACTCCACACAGTGGGTTCCACAACGGCCCTCCTGATGACTTCACCCACCACTCTGCCACCTCCACTTAGCAGTTGCCTTTTTTAAGGGCTTTTCTCTTGTGCTGTGATTTTTAAAAATATCCTATTGTTTTAAATGTGCTCTAATTTTTGGCACACTCAATCTATAACCATCTGAATTTTAGAAAATTAGAGGATGACTCTTCACAAAGCCCATGTCTGCCTATAAGTCGGTGCTGCCTCTGCCCACACAGCCTCACCAGGTAGGATGGGCAGCAGCCTTACCTGTCTTGTTCTGGTCGAGGGGGCACTGGCTCCAGGGCAGCGGGTCCTGGAAGGAGTTGAAGAAGTACCACATGACCCAAGCGATGATGGTGTTATAGTAGAGGCCCACCATGAAGGACACGAACATGGACGCAACACCTGTGGGTGGCACTGTGGTGTGGGTGTGTCTCCCTGAGGGCACCACCCACCTGTCCCACCCCCAGGCAGCCCTCAGGCCAGGTGGTCATGGGATGCAGCTGGAAGCTGTCCTGAATCTGAGAATGATGTGGCATGGGCCAAGCTCAAGCAGGGCACACACCACCACCACTCACTCATCAGAGCCCAGCGCTCCTGCTGTCCCCAGTGGGCAGGTCGAGGCAGGTGGCCACAGGGCCTTTGCAAAGAGCCATCAAGGTGCTCAGTGGCTTGGCGCTACTTGCTACCTACTTCCTACTACCTGCTACCAGCCTGGGTTGGGGGGGTAGGGCTGTGGCCTTGTACAGGTTGGTGGACTTGGGAGAGAAGAGGGGCAGGGAACGGACTGCTGTGCAAATGTTCACCATCATCTGGGGGCAGCTAGGTGTGATCTCAAAGTGCCTCATGTCTTCCCTGTTGTTTTGAAGTTGAAGTTTGAAATGGGGCAGTGGAGAAGGAGAGAGATGGGGGAGAGAGAAGCAAGGGAGGAATAGATGGAGGGAGAAGGGGAGAAGGAGGAGAGAGAGGTGGAGACAGAGGGGGTAGGGAGAGAGGGAGAGAAGGAAGGGAGAGAGGGAAGTGGCATGGGGCTGGCTGTAGCCCTTAAGCTTTAGGAATGTGGGCTCAGAATCCCATTTAGGGAGACCCTTCCCCCCCTTTCTCCCAGCTGAAGCTCTGTTCTCATGTTCTGAGCTCTCAAAGAGCCATGAACCCTTGGTGAGTGAGGGACCACACAGAGACTCACCGAGGCCCTTGAGGGCTGGGTGGATGGAGCTCCACACGCCCACACTGCCCTTGCGCAGCCTCTGCCCAATGGCGAACTCCAAGTGCAGCAGTGGAATGCCTTCCAAGACCAGCAGGATGAGGAAGGGGATCATGAAGGCACCTGGGATGGAGGAGGGTGCTGGGTACTCAGTCTTAATCAGTTGGCCCCTCCCAGCCTCGGATGGATAGAGCTGAGATGTAGGGGCCCATCCCCTGTGGTCAGCTGACTTCACATTCCAAAAGGACTGCTCAGGGGGACAGTCTACACGTCAGGTTGACATTTATTTTAGACTGTCTGCCTGAGCAGTCCTTTGGAATGGGAGCTGTGGCCATGACCTGAGGCAGCATTGATGTCCTCATGCACTGAACAGCACAGTGCAGTGGAAGCCCTCATGGCATCCTCAAGGTGGCACCCAGCTGGCCCTCCCCTGCCTCTTCCTGCCCAGGAGCCCCACGAGTGGCAGCAGGAGCTGCTGGCCAGTGAGGTGGGCGCTTCCTACCACAGAGTTCCTGCTCCACCCTCTGGGGCCACCTGCCCACTGTCTTCATTTGGCTGGAGAGCTGCCCTCCCAGAGGCCTGTGGGCTAGAATGGAGCCGGATCCTCTCTGCCTTAAGGAGCATCGCTCAGCTTGGGCAGCTCATCTGTGACACCAAAAGTGTCTTTTATTTTAAAACGCAAATCCAACCTCAGTTCGCCGGCCACCTTGCCCATCGGGGGCTAATGTCATAGAGATGAGACAGCAAGTGCTAACAAAGACAGAGAGACAGGAGCACTGCTGGTGGGAAGGGAAGAGGGCATCCACTGTGCACACCTGAATGGTGATTCCTCAGAAGTTAAAAACAGGGTGACCGTGTGACCCAGCAATTTTATTTCTAGGCCTGCACCGTAACAAACTGAGGGCAGCGCTCACAGAGATAGTCACACCCCCAAGTTCACAGCAGCGTGGCTCGCCACTCCTGAAGGGTAGAAGCAGCCCTTGGGTGACTGCCAGATAAACAGCAAGCCACACCCTTGAGGACATTATACTAAGAGAAATAAGCCAGACATGAAAGACAACACCCTGTCTTTTCACTTCACGGCAGTGCCCAGAGACGTCAGGTTCATGGGATCAGAGGTGGACACAGCTGCCAGGGCAGGGGTGGGGCTGGTGTTCAGGGAAGTGAGACTCAGCACGTGGAGATGAGGGTGGGGACGGTTGTACAGGCCTGCGAATGTAACACATGGACCACTAAGCCAGACACGAAGAAAGGGCAAACTTCATGTTTCTGTATTCCACATATGACAGCAGAGAGAAGGGCCACGTCCAGACACCTCTACTTCTACCCTGAGTCCCACCGGTCTTGTGGGAGATGTACCTCCTGCCCTGCCCTAAGGCCACACCAGGAGCCATCATCTGGGGCTCTAATTTATAATGTTAGAAATGAGCATTGGAATGTGATGATGTTTGAATCCCTTTGACATCGCTGTGACTCAGTCTGAGGTGGACCTGCCCTGGTGGGAACTAGGGGTCAGGACGGCTCACCAAACTGAGCAAACCAAGGCTGACAGGGAGAGACAGGCGTCAGTGGGGTGTGGGGGGTTCAGTTACGTGGTGAGCAGGAGTCTGGCTCGGGTCGCAGCCTGTCTGGAAAGTCAGCTCAGGGATGGGGGACACGTTGCAGAATGTGACAGACGCCCAGAAGGACTTCACACTCCGATTCACTCATATCTTTAAATGCTGTGTCTTTAGAAAAGACAGGTGAGGAGTGGGAGCCAGCTCCCCTCAGAGCTGCTGCCAAGGAAACACCACAGGGGACGTTGGCATCTAGGGGACGGGCCTGTTGGGTACCCATGTGGGTGGGTAGGGAATTGCATGCCCTGCCAGCACCCTAGGCCCTTGGGGACAGCTTGTGTGACTCCTGAGAGTGGTGCCCACAGGATGTCCACAGGCCAGGCAGAGCTCAGGGAAGGGCATAGGCTGGCCTGTCCAGCTGTGGAGGCATGGACGGCACAGGCAGCAAAGAGGAGCTGCCTATCAGTGCCAGGGCCCAGAGTGGAGAAATGGGTGCACACATGGGATGGAGGCCACACGCGCAAGCCTTCCCGGCTTCAGTGCCTTCAGAGAGGCAGCTAAAGGCACAAGATCCCATCCACCTGCCCTGGCTGGGTGGCTACACGTGCAGGCTCAGAGGCACAGTCCAGAGATAGCACTGCTGTGGGTACGAAGGTCGAAGGCCGCCAGCACTCAGCCTTGACCAGTGCAGGAGCTGAGACTAGATGCCACATCCAGAGTGCTCTCGCCAGGACCACCCTGTAGTGCCCAGGTGGTGAGGACATGCTCCCTAGTAGGGATCCTTCCTCACCCTCTTGTCCTAGGGCTCAGGCCATAGGACCTGTGGTGAGAGGGACTCCTGCAACGGGCTCTCCTGGCATAGCCAGTGCTTCCCCCACACGCCCTTGTTCTACTTGCTGTTTCCCATCAAACCTGGTCAAAATCCAACTCCCTTCACATCCCAGCTCCCCATCCCCCCATCATGTCTCCTCCTTCTCTCCCCAAATCTTTCCCCTGCTGCCCCTGAGCACAAGGTACCACTGAGGTGGGAGAGGAAAGAGACAGAGATGGGGGAAGAATGAGAGAGAGAGAGAGAGGAGGCTGAGAGAGAGGGAGGAAGGTAAGAGAGATGGCGGGAGGGAGAGAGAGGGAGAGTGAGGTGGGATGGCGGAGGGGCTGGAGTTTTGAGTGCTCAGTGGACTTTCTCACTGGCCCTTGGCCAGCCCTTCACAGCCCTCCCTGTCTCTGCTCTCTCTCTGTCACGTGGAAGCTGGCACTGGGGTGGACAGGGCCCTCCATATCCCAGGGGGGACTTCTGGCCTGGCCAAGCATAGGCCCTTCTCTGACCTGGGCTCCAGTGACAGTCTTCTCCAGGAACTCTAGGACAGTAATATCCTTGCAGGCCAGACACTGGGCTCATTCATGAGATGGAAGCAGAGAGCAGTGACAGGGTCCAGGAGAGACCCACAAGCCCACCCCTGCCCCTGGCTGCAGACCCACCTGCAGAAACACCTGAGATCCCAGCAGGGCCTAGAGCTGGATTTGAAACACTTTTAGACAAAACTACCATAAGACAATGAGGGCATTGTTCCCAAATGTCCTTCTATCCTCTCCCTTCCCTCCATGCCCCAACCTTAAACACTTGGGGGAAACTCCTACTCACCCTTGAAAACCCTACTCAATGTCCTCTCTTCTGGGGCACCTTGCCTGGCAGCCCTTGCTCCTGACAGCCCTGCCTCTTGAAAGTTCCTTTGAATAAGAGACCCTCAAATCCCTGACTCCTGTGAGTGAACAGAAAGGATGGGGTGGTATCCATCCACTACACCCTCAAAGTGGGCCCAGCCCAGCCCACATGCCTGTCGGGAGCTCGTGGAACTCAGGCAGCTACTGACATGGCTGGGTGTCCTGGGGGCAGCACTCAGGCCTTTGAGATGAGTGGAGGATGCTCTGACTAATTAAGTCCCCAGGGATGCAAATCTTTCTCCTCTAAACCCACTACTTCTTCCAGCTGTGGGATGAAGGCGCCTAGAAGGAAAGCAGGGAAAAGCCACTGGGTGTCTGCTGCAAGGCCCTTGTCAGGGGGGCAGTGGAGGCTCTGGGTGTGGGTCCAAAGGTCCCCAGAGACCAGGACCTCCTCCGCTGGGAGGCGTGACCGGTGTTTGTCTTTCGTGCAGATGGAAGCAAATGGCAGAGATAACGGAGTCGAGGCGGGGTACAGAAAAGGTGTCAGAAGGAAAAACACACTTGGCACAGAAACACAGTTCTTTCTTTTCTTGAAAAATTAGAAAATGATGAGGAGGAAAAAGAAGAGAAAGAGGATGTGGTAGAGGAGAAATGGAGGGGGCGGGGGGAGGGAAGGTAAAGAAAGGGAGGAGGGTACGTGTAGGGGACGGGGGAGGATGGAGAAACAGGGACATGTAAGGGAGGAGGAGGAAGAAGGAGGAGGAGGGGGGAAGAGGAAGGGGGAGGGGAGAGGAGTGGAGCTGTGGGTTTTGTGAGCAGGGATCAATGGTCCCCCTCGCCTCTCCCTGCAGGTGCTTGGAGCAGGGGGCAGATTTTGCTGCATACAGATGTAGGACCCCAAGACTAATGGGAAAGGCAGCCCCAGGCCAGGTGCTGGGTGGCTCAGGCTCCTGGAGCAAGGAGGAGTGGGAACAGGTGTGGCAAGGCAGGCCTGCTCCTCAAAAGTGTGGTCCCAGCCCAGCATCTCTCCATGCAGAGCAGAGTGGGTCGGTGGCTGCACTGTGGGCCCCCTTTGGGTGAGCTCTTTGCACCTGAAGTGTGAGGCTGGCATTGGGGACACCCATGAAGAACTGTGGTTTCTGGACGTGGGCATGAAGGTGATTCCACCTGTGCTTCTCTCTCTGGCCTCATTGATGTAGAGTGGTGGTGACTCCAGACAGGGGTGTGTGGCTGTGTCCTGAGGCCTTCTGTTGCTGTCCCTCCCCACCCTGACTCATTCATAGGTCAGGTGGATTCCTCCATCACATCCATTTAGACCAAAGCCAGGGTGACCTGGAGAGGCCTGGCAGGGGACCCAGCTGCCTCCGGAAATGCTCTTCTGGGAGGGGCCTCTCCAACGCATCAGCAAGGAAGGCAAAATCGCTACACTTCAGAGGCTTGAAGGAGGGTGTGAACTTTTTTAACCTTGAAGGACAATCCCAAACAGGAGGCTCCAGGAGAAAAGGTGAGCAGGTGGAGCTGCCTGCTCCTTCTTGCTTTGGTCAGCACCAGTGATCCTTGTCAATCAGGATGTGTGGTGTCGCTGACCTGGGTGTGCACACAGAGTCCTTGAGAAGGCGGATGGAGAGCACCAAGGGACACCGCCTGCTCCACTGTGCTGACATCCACGCCAGCTGCAGCCTCAAGTCCCCCGGAGCCTGAGGAGGCCCACGTGTTCCTCTGAGTCTGCTAACTGCTGCTACGCAGCCGCTGCCACCACCGTGAGCCAGGTCCACTGCAGGGCATGCATAGATGGTGTGCAGCCACCCCCAGGTCCTGCCCTGTGGGTCTGGCTCCTTTGAGCTGCAGTCCAGGCTTTAGTCCTGGCAGGCTGGTTGTCTAGTTTGTGGGGTCTTCATTAGCACATGGCAGAGTGTCTCAAAAGGCCTGGAATTCTCCCAGACAGTGGGCATATACAGGACCTTAAGTGCCACCTGTGGTCACCACAGCTGGGGGTAGGTAGCGAGGAGTGACCCTTGAGGTCCAGCAGGTGACCTGATGTCCTAGCAGGAAAGGGACCAGGTGCTGGGGCAGAGGAGAAGCCCACTTGTATCTACTTCCAAAGTGGGACTACTCTGAGTCCCTGTGCATCTAGGCCCTGCTCTGCCCACGCCCAGTGGCCTGAGCCCATGTCTGTCCTCCCAAGGTTCTGTGTATGAGTCTGTAGGGCTACCTGCTGTACGGCCCACTACGCAGCACAGTATACTCCTATGGGCAAGAGCACCACACTCCCAGACTTTCTGCATGTGTCTGATCTCAAAGCAAAGACCACCTGAGGTGCTGGAAGCCCCACCAATGCCCACCAAAGCCCTTTTGTGGAAAGACTGAAATGATCGCTTCCAAGGCAGCTCAGGTATCCACACTCCCTGCCCAGATGGACAGGCACCAGCACCTCCACCACACATGGGGGGCTGGGCTTCCCATCAGAGCCAAACAGGGGCCACAGTGCAGGGCCGGTCAAGGGAGGGAGTTCCTGGGGGCCTAGGAAGTGCTGGGGCTCTGGCCACATTTCCATATGGCCAGCGGAGAGGCAGCACTCAGGACTTGGAACCGCACTGCCCGCCACCATGCAGGCCGGAGACAGAAAGCAAGCCCCCCACGGCCAAGCTCAGCTCTCCGTGAGGGGAGGGGAAGACAGTCAGGCACATGTCATCACAAAGCCATGTGGAGACCCACATCTTTCTTCATCAGGACCCTTTGGAAGCCCACGAAGGCCACAGAGCCTCCCGTGACAGAGCCACCTGCTCAGGGGACAGCAGCCCAGGGCCATGGGCCCAAGGCCACCTCCAGCATAGGTCCCAGGTAAAGATACTCCTGTCACTTCTGTGCCAGCAGCTGTGTCCACCAGGGGCCACCAGAAGCTGGACAGAGGAATGATCTACAGCTATGGCAGGAGGTGGGCTCAGCTGTGGAGGGCAGGGCCCTTGTGACCTCTGGAGAACGCACGAGCCCCTCTGTGGCTCCCCTGCCTCTGGCCACCAGCCCCATCCCTCCATTTTAGGGTTCACAAGTGCCCACCAGTGGCTGGGAAGCCAGAGGATGCACCGGGGTCTGCTGGGGGTGTGCACAGGGCTGGTCTTAGGCCCTCAGGGTAGAGTTCTCCTGTCCCCTGCTCAAGGCAGAGGCTCTCCGGCAGCAGCATGGCCCTCCTCCCCCGGTGCCAGGCAGGGCTCTGCTCCTTCAGCAACAACCAGAAAGCAGGGCACGGGTGGTGTAGGCAGTGTGAAACCATTTCCCTACACAACCTGTCCCCCCGCCTGTCAGCCCCTCTACCTACCTCCTCCGTGGCTCTGGCACAGGTAGGGGAAACGCCACACATTGCCCAGGCCCACGCAGAAGCCCACACACGTGAGCATGTACTGAGCCTTGTTGTCCCACTTGGGCCGGGAGCTGGCCTCCTCTTTCTCTAGGGTCTCCAGCTGGCCCAGGGAGGGGATCCGCCCCTCTAGGCCAGGGTTGGGCAGCACAAGCCTCACCATGGTGGTCTCTGGGCTGGTTCTGAGGTGAGTGGATAGGACGGGAGCCAGAGGGTGAGTGGCCGTGGCCAGGAGCCCCAGCACTTTATAGCGAACCTTTGGCACCTTGCCCCAAGCACCTGGGCAGAAAGGAGCCGTCAGCAGATCTGCAGGGTGCGTCCACAGAGGGACTGTTAATGCCTTATCTGTTGGCCCCCGCCCGGCCAGCAGGGCCACCCACAGGACAACACCCCCCTGCCACTGCAAACACCACAGGTGAGCCCCTCCAGGGCTCTAAGGAACCTGACAGACGCCAGACGCCAAGGACCCAAGGCAAACAGACCCTCTCTGTGGACCCTGCCCAGTTCAGCAGGACACTGGCTCTATCCTAGACCCTGCCCCAGCAGGAGGCCGGGAGGAGCCTTACTTCCCACTGTGTGGGCTGGCCCAGTCCTCCCAGGGAGGTGGGCAGGAGCCATGGGCCCTGGGGACAGTCCATCCCTGCTCAGGGCAGCACAGAGAGGTTCAGACCCTTCCAGCTTGGCTCTGCACTCTAAATGGCAGCTCAAAGGGCCAGGGGTCCCCACCAGTATCCAGGGTGCCCAAGGCCACTTTACATATGGCTTGAACCACCTGAGAGTGGGGCCCTCCAGGCCAGGCCATGGGGATCCAGGGTTCATTATGGGGCCTAAAGTCACCCTGGCCACCTCTGGGTCCCCAGAGCCATTGGGTCTACAACTACCCCAGACCCACTGCCTTCCAGGTGACTAAGGGTGGTATTCCTGTCTCTCCATAGAGTGCTGAGGAGGCAGTCCTGTGCTGGGGCCAGCAGTGGGAGACATGGGACCTATGGGCTGATATAGGGGCCCAGGAGGGGCGAGGGACAGGACCCCTATGGCTTTTATGCACAGTTTTCAGTGCAGAACTGGGGGCTCCTCCTTGCGCAGGCCTGCCCAGGCATCCCCCCATCAGCCCTCCAAATGAGCATCCTGGGCCCAGCCCTGCCTGCCCCAGCCACCCCAGGCAGCTTTCGGGGAGGCTGCTTCATTGTGCTTCTTTATCTGGGTGGTCCCAACTGCTGGGAGCACTCCCACCCCTGCGCTGCAGGTTCTGAGTCTGACCTTTGCCCCTAGGACACAGCTGAAATGGGAAAGCGTGGAGGCCGGAAGGAAGAGATCAGGTTTACATTTAGGAACATCTGGCTTCTGAGAATGATCACAGATGGGAAGGGGCTCCCAGGAAGAGGGCTCCCTCCAGCGCAAGGACCATCAGAGGCCCTGGCAAGTGTGGCCACACCGGCCCCCCTGAACAGTGCGCCTCCCTCATCGCACTGGCCACCTGGTTTGACACTGCTGCCTGGTCCCATCCTGAGCACACTTCTTCCATGTCCACCTTCACTTCTCACAGCACTGTTTCTTGCTGACATGCTGCCCAGTTGGGGTAGTTTGGGAGTTGCTGTTTCTGTTCTCTCTGTCCACCCAGGATGGATGTAAGATGGTCCAGGCAGGGACCTCGGTCTCCTCTGCTCATGGGTAAGCTGAGAGCCTGACCCTCCGTCCATACGTGCATGTCGCAGCTGGGTCCCTAGGTGGGAAGTTCATCTCCACCAGGCTGACCCTCCCATCCCTGCTCCATCCCCACCAGCTGGTTCACCAGGGACCTCAAGAGACTGACCACCCGTGATCCTTCTGACCAGGCTCAAGTTCCCTGCCAAAACCTGGGGTAGCTCAGGGGCATAGAGGGGCCCACTTGATGAGCCTTTTCCTTTTTACTAGAATTGTGTTTGAAAATACAATGGAAAATAGTAAATCCTGTCAGGACCTTGCCCAGCTGCGCCCCCCTTGAGACTGGAGAGGTCAGCGGGGGCAGATGTGATGAATACAGAGCAGAGTCCCTGTCTGGACACCAACCAAGAGTGTCCCAGAGGGGCCACTCTCAGAACACTGCTGCTTCATTCTCGTTTACAGCATTAACTTATGACAAATATGTGCTCAGTAAAGAAATCAGAGTTTTCCACCAGCTGGAGAAAACACTGGTAGGTCCTTTGTTCTACAGTTTGAAAATATGTGTGAGAGACACTCATTCACTAGTGAAGTTCTACTGTCTATGCCTGAGTGTAACCAACATTGGGTCTTAAAATTTTCCTTTTATTATTCTTTTACTTAATTAAATTTAAATTTTTAACCAATTAATTTTTAAGTTTTATTAACTTTTTTTCAAGCACCATTTTTGATGTGTAACATCAAGAGTACTCAGTGCATAGGGCAAGCCATTTATTATGGAAAATGTCCCCCACATAGAGCATCTCCACTGTTGTTGGTACCTCCGTACACGTTGCCGGGATGGACATATCTGAATCATTTTGGAGGCTGATAAATTGTCACAAACAGGCACATTCATGTAATGATCACCCATAGGAATACACAGAACATTCCAGATCCCCAGAGTCCCTGCCCCTCCAAGCACTGCCTCACGTCACTATCTGCATCTGTGAGACCAGAGATGGCTGTGCAGGTGCTGATCCTCCCAGACTCCATGTGGGCAGCTCCGTGGGGACAGCTCTGAGGGGAAGTGTGGGGAAAGCTCTGTGGGGGACATGTGGGGACAGTTCTGTGAGGGGACATCTGGGGGCTGGGTGGGGCAGCTGTACCCTCCTTCCTACTTTCCCTCAGACTTCCCTAACGGCCACTGACCCTGAGTGTCCTGATCTGCAATGTGTGGCCATTCTGTCATCCTCTGTAAAAAGCTAGTCTGGGTTCTTTTCTTTTCTTTTTTTCTTTCTCTTTCTTTTTTTTTTTTTTTTTGAGACAGAGCCTCAAGCTATCCCCCTGGGTAGAGTGCCGTGGCATCACAGCTCACAGCAACCTTCAACTCCTGGGCTCAAGCGAGTCTCCTGCCTCTGCCTCCCAAGTAGCTGGGACCACAGGCGCCCGCCACAACGCCTGGCCATTTTTTGGTTGCAGCCATCGTTGTTGTTTTGGCCGGTCCGGGCTGGGGATTCGAACCCGCCACCTTAGGTGTATGTGGCTGGCGCCTTAGCCACTTGAGCCACAGGCGCCGAGCCCTTTTCTTTTTTTGAGACAGAGCCTCACTATGTCACCCTAGATAGAGTGCTGTGGCATCATAGCTCACAGCAACCTCAAACTCTTGGACTTAAGTGATTCTCTTGCGTCAGCCTCCCGAGTAGCTGGGACTACAGGCACCCACCACAACGCTGGGCTATTTTTCTTGTTGTTGAACCCAGCAGGCCCAGGCCAGGTTCGAACCTGCTAGCCCTGGGGTATGTGGCTGGTGTTCCAACCCCCGGCCTACAGGCGCTTTTCTGTTGGACGCCACCACCTTCCTCCTGTTCACAGAGTGCTTTACTGTGTTCTGCAATGTGGTGCCTCACAACCATCCTCCCCAGTCTGGTGCTTGCCTTCCCACCGTCTCACTGGTAGCTTTTGGTGAAGAAAGCTCCCAAATGCAAGCAGTCCAGGAACCTGCACTCAGAAACATCCCTGCCTTCCTGGAGGTTGGGAGGACACTTCTCCTGCCTTCCCACCTCCTGCCCACCTACACCTTCACCTGCTGATCATTTCTCCGTTCTTCACCTTCTACTCTGACCCGTCAGCCTTTTGTCCCCTTGTGTTGGTTGTGTGTTATGTTTTTCTGTAGCTTTGTAAGCCCTGATATCTGATGATAAAGCCTTTCAACTTTATCATTCTTCCAGAAATACATATTTTATAGTAAACTTATAAGTTTCTCCAGAACACCTTCTGGAATTTGCAGTGTGTTAAATCTACAGATCTACAAATCAATTTCTGTGGAAATATTTACAATATTCAGTTTCTCAATCATGGTATATCCTTTCATTAATGTACGCTTTCTTTTTATCGGTAATGCTTTATAGTTTTTCTTGTAGAAGTCTTAAAAATCTTTCATTAGATTTTTATTAGTAGTTATTTACTTTTTGATTCTATTGCGAATGGTATTACTTTCCAAGAGTCCATCTTTTAATTGAGTTGCTGGTGTACGTGAAAGTTGTGGGGTCACCTGTGTCAAACCTTGTCACAGTGGTGGCTGGGAAGGTCATGGAGAGGGGCTCAGGCACAAATGCCCAATGGCAAGAATGATTGCAAAGAATTCTGCAGAACACATAACCTTGCACAAAAATCCTCTGCCCAGAAACAGCCAGTTCAACTTTGGCCTGACACTGCCATTGTTATTCCTTTTGCCAAGAATAATTATTTCCAAACACCTTAGTTAACCTCATTTTCACTTTAAGACCCTGTCTTCCTCTGCCTCCCTGAAGATATTCGTACCTGTCCCTGAACATGCGTGATTCCTTCTGGAGAGTTTCTGTCTGTCTTTTGGGTTCAATGTGAGCAATACAGTGACTTTGTACATTGACTTTATATCAAAATTTTTTCTTTCTTTTTCTTTTTGAGACAGAGTCTCAAACAGATGCCTGGGTAGAGTACCGTGGTGTCACAGCTCACAGCAACCTCAAACTTTTGGGCTTAAGTGATTCCCTTGCCTCAGCCTCCCAAGTAGTTGGGACTACAGGCATCCGCCATAATGACTGGCTATAGTTTTGGTTGTAGTTGCCACTGTTGTTTGGCAGGTCTGTGGTGGATTTGAACCTGCCAGCTCCGGTGTATGTGGCTGGTGACCTAGCCGCTGAGCTATAGGCGCTGAGCCTCAAAATCTTTTCTTAACACTCACACCCATTCATCGTCTTTTTACATGAGTTGTTCTTTTTTTTTTTTTTTAATTTTGAGACAGAGCCTCAAGCTGTCGCCCTGGGTAGAGTGCTGTGGCATCACAGCTCACAGCAACCTCTAACTCTTGGGTTTAGGCATTTTTTTGCCTCCGCCTCCCAAGTAGCTGGGACTACAGGCACCCACCACAACGCATGGCTATTTTTGATTGCAGCTGTCATTGTTGTTTGGCAGGCCCGATCTGGATTCAAACCCACCAGCTCAGGTGTATGTGACTGGCACCTTAGCCACTTGAGCTATAGGTGCCAAGCCATTTTTACATGTTTT